GTGAATCTAAAGAGATCTAGGCCTTATTCACCTTAGAACCAAGGTTTGGGACATGATAGCTCCATTAGCAACACAAGAACAGGGGCTTTAATGCTCTTCAGATCTTCTCCACTCCAGATCTGAGGTAGCAACCTCAGATCCATACCCCAAACATCAAGATACCACACAACCAAGCACCTCATACAACCCCAAAATGAGAAACTAGGAAGATACAGCCCAAGAACGAAAGTATTACCTCCAAAGGATGCCCCCACAACAATGAAACTCGAATCCAAGCAAAGCCCTTTGATCCAAGCCACTTCTCCTTCAAGATTTCTTCAACCAACACCTCTCCAAGCTCTAATTTGCTCCACAATTGGACTCTCCATGAATTTAGGGTTTCTGGAACTCAAGGGGGGATAAGGGAGGCTGTGGAGGGGTATAATGCTCTTTATATAGGGCTCAACCCCGAAAATTAGGGTTTTCCCCATACAGCACCTACTCGCCGAGTCCATCTTTGGACTCGCCGAGTAGGCCACTTGACACGCGACCAAAGCCGCGACCTGACTCGCCGAGTCTATCCATGGACTCGCCGAGTCACCCTCCGAAACTTACACTTTTAGCCCTTTAACTCTACTCTTGCGATTCCGGGATGTTACAGTAATATTGTGTTTAAATTAGTTAATCTAATAATATAAAGTATTAATTAACACTTGTTTATATTAAATACTTTCAAGGTGCAAAATAGTTCCTGAGAATTTTGGATGCAGATGTGAAGTGTTCTTGGGTATGCTACGAAGATTTGAAGGTTAACCGGGTAAGTGTTTTGAAGATATGAATATTGTCTTATGAACTTTGAGAGAAATTAGATGGATTTCGGCCTTAAAGATGTAAATTGTGAGGTTAGTTTTTGGTTCATATATATATATATATATATATATATATATATATATATATATATATATATATATATATATATATATATATATATATATATATAATTGTGATGCTTACTTTGGGAAATGTATTTTATCCTCTTGGAATATGTATCACCGTCTAAAGGACTAAATATCTAGATATTTTTCGGTGTTTACAGCCAAGTTTTCATTTAAAATAATAGAGATTTCGGACATTTATCCTTGTTTTTACGACCATAATGGCTTAGCTTTAGAGATTTCGATCATGTGTTGACCGAAAACTCATGATTCTTTGACTCACAACCGAAAACAACTTTATTCTATAATTCATTGGACCATAAACTACTCGATATCAAATCCTTAAGCCAAAAACTCATGATTCTAGAAGTCTGAAACTGAAAACAACACTTTGAAGTGGTTTCTAAACCGTAAACTACATTTGGAATTTATTCAAAAAAAAAAAAAAAAAAAAAAAAAAAAAAAAAAACAGAACAAAACAAAACAAAATGTAAACCCCTCTAATGCATTAATTTCAAACTGAAACCCCCATCTGGATTTGATTTCTTGGTGAAAACTTGGTTATATTTATGTTTTAAACCCTTAATCTTTTAACTTATGTTCATTTATAACACTCTAATTGAGCTTAAGTTATCAATCCATACATCTTTGTTAACTCTTTAAACAAACTCTAAGGCTATAGATAATAAAATTCAACCAGGATTACAATGAAGTTTCACTTGTACTTGGTTAGGGTTTAGGCTTTGATGGGTCTAAAAATTTAGAGTTCTGACATCATCCCATCGTTAGAGGGAATTTCTTTCTAAAATTCGAATTCTAAATGGTTACTTATGGTCAAGGGAAATTTGTGGGTACTTCTGTTCTATATGATCTTCTCATCCCCAAGTGAATTCTGATCCTCGCTTGGCATTCCAGCGGATCTTCACTATTGTGTCTGCAGTTTTAATCGGTAGCGAGTGTATGTGTTCGGTTTGATTGACATTCATTTGAATGGTAGCATGTTCATTTGTATTCTTGGGCAGCTTTGTCCTGAATTTCAGGGTAGGACTCATATCTAGTTCATCCATCATCACCTCGTGTATACAAGTCATATATAATTAAGATTGAAAAGATGGTCCGATGGGTGGCTCTGCCCAAAGTCCACAACCAAACAAGGAACAGGAGATAGGGCGGAATCACACATCCTAAATCTGTAGAATCTTAATTATATACCATCCTCGCGTATACACTCAGCAATGATAGGTTAGCCGGATGGGTCCTTAGTCTCTATTCTTTGAACTTGACTTGCTGTATGAGTGATATTCTCGGGAGATCTGCTGGGAATACCTCGGAAAAATGTACTGACTTCCGGGACATCCTCGAGGTTTTTCGCTTCAAGTTTCTTGTCTATAGAGTGAGTTCGGAAGGCGTGGTACCCCTCTCGTGGGTACTTCTGAATTTTGAAGTAAAAGATGATATGGAGGTTTATGTTGGGTTTGTCTTTATAGGTTGAAAAGATTTTGTTAGACAATCGTTTAAGGCGAAGGGTCTTTACTTAGCATAGGAAATTGGTATGATGAGGACCAAGCCAATCCACGTCGAATGATGACGTCAGAACTTTTCACGGTAACAAAGACCTTAATTATCAGATCCACACAGTCAAGAAGGAAGAAATGGTACAACTGTCATATCTAGTACCCAAACCAAAATTTGAAGCACTCAATCGAAGAAATTTTAAGAAATTCAAAAAGTTGATTGAAGAACTCAAGCTCAAAACAAAGATACAAATCCAATTCACTCAAATCAGAAGCTATCTTAAAGTTAAATTTGGCGAATGAATAAATGTGTGATATGATACTTGTGGCTCTCGAAAAAGTGAAAGCATAGGAGCTGAGCCCCTTCGGGTGGGCTCACTGTTTCAGCGAAAGCTGATTTGTCGTGACAGGTTCTTAAGGATGCGTCGATTCTTATTCTTGACTACTTAGTTTTAAGGACATGAAATCTTGGATTGTGTTATTTTTGCTCACAAAGCTAATTAAGGTATAAACTTTAAATAAAACTATGGTTGGATTATTGGGTTACACCGTTTTGTTGTCTTCCTCACTTTGGGAGTCTGTGATACATCAAAGGTAGTAGGATGGTCTCCTAGGTATTAGTGATTGGAGCCCCGTCGATGTAAAGTTTGATCGTATAAAAAAAAAAGAAAAAAACTATTTCCATTTTGGATTTTTCTACCGTTCATTTTTCTTAAGCTTCTTTTGTACATATATTTCTCTATCATGGTTTTCATTACATTCATTCGTTCTTAGCTTTTAGGATCTCTCTGTCCCCTTTTGTTTTATGTTTCTTTTTGTCATCTAGAAATCATCCTGTCTCGTCCGATTCATGTTCTTTCTTGAGGACAAGAAATGTCTAAGATTGGGGAGATTTGTTAGGTGCATTTTGTGCACCTTTTTGCACACCTTTTAGTCCCTTTTGTGCATCAATTTAGCACAGTTGTCTTTCATTTTTCTTGCATTGCATCAAATTCATTGTATTCACTAAAATAACCTTATTTGCACGCTTTTATGGTCTTTTTAGGTAAACGGAAGGTTGAAATGCATTTTGGGAAGTGTCGGGAAACATGGGTGAAGATTCCGGGTTGAATGGATGCAAAAGGAAAAAGTTGAAAAATTCAAGATTGGGCTTGGGAGAAGGAGCGAACACGAGTTGTGTTTGACCAAGAAGAAGCTATTGACTATGTTGAACACGGCCCGTGTCAGTTTAGACTATTTTGACATGGGCTGTGTTCACCATGCTGAACACGACCCGTGTCAGTTTAGCCTATTTCGACACACGCCGTGTTCGACCCAAAAAATGCCTTTTGACAGATTTTCCTATCTTTCATATTATGGGATTAGGGTCATTTTTACAGACATGCATGATATTAGAGCACTATTGGTGAGTGGATTTCGAAGGCGTTTGCAAGGATTCATAAACATGATTTATTGTCGGCTATCTTACCTTATTCTTGAGATATGATGTTACAACATTGTAAGTTGAATTTTTTTTAGTAATTATAACAATGTCATCCAAATGAAAAAATAGTTTTCATAGTCATAACTGGTACTTTTTTAAAACACAATGTTCTATTAAAATAAAATATTGAAAGTATAATGTTATAATTAGATATATATTTCAAGGTACAATGCATTAATAAGAAAAAACCGAAAGTACAATGTTATCATATAACACAATAAATGTACGAGTGCAATGATAAATACACAAATGAAAGAAAATTAAAACTATAAAAGACATGTAAAGTGACGAATTGAAATATTTAGATTAAATTTACATGACATGTTAGAGTCAACTATCGAGGAACCAAAGTGACGACTTCAAACAAACTTTAATGTATGAATCAATAACCTTCAAACTATATATTTTTTTTCAAATATTTGATGTTGTTTTCTATTTGAAATTGTTGTTTTTCAAGTCAACTAATGATGCATTTTTTTCGGACCTTCAACTCCGGCGAACTCACACAACAATCCTTCTATTGGGTTGTGGTGATGGAAAATTCAATGGAGAGACGGTGGGTTGTGGTTTACGGTTTAAGGTGAGGAGATACAGATATGTGGTTTCAGGTTTAAGGTGAGGAGATACAAATATATGAGGTCTATTAATTTTTTTAAATATATAAATAAAAAAATTAATTAAAAAATAAATTAAAAAGGGCACAATAGTCTTTTGAGATAAGATAGAGACCAAACACATAATAAAAATAAACATTAGAGATGATCTGAGTTAAAAAATTAATCAAGTACCAAACACATAAATTATCCAAACCACAAAGACCATTCGTGTAATTTACTTTTACCTTTTCAGTTTGTTCTCATCTGGGTAACTACATTTTTTTACATATCTAGATAACGAATGTTTTTAAAGTGTTTACATATGGTTATTATGAACGGTTATAACCAGATGTAACTTGCTACAATAGATCATAATGAACATTTTCCAAAAATTCGTTATCTAAATATTAAAAAAAATAATAATAATAAATAAATAAATAAATAGCCAGATGTAGACAAACAAAAAGGTCATTTACCATGTTTTTTATTTTGTCGAACGTTGTAATTTTGAGGTGAAGAGCAGAAAACAGACCATCTACTGATCTAGGGTTATTGGTCTGAAAGAAATGAGTTTCTAACTTTGAGCCAAATCCACCTCCTCAACTTTCCAAGAACCCACGTGATAGTTCATATAGCGATTCATCTATCAAACTACGTTACGCCGGAATTCATCATCAAGATTCAAGAATCTCTGTTTTTCACTGCCGCTGCCACTGGAGTTCGTTATCAAAAATCTCAATCTCATCGTCTAAATCAAACGTTAATCCTATCCTAACACTAACATGGGATCATTAGGAACCCATTTCACATCATTCCTCTTTCTCTTCCCTCTCGGCGTCCGGCGCCTCATATCCTCTTTCTCGATCTACCTCAGCAACCCATCGCTCTATCGATCCAAAACATGGTACTTCTCAAACCCTACTTGGAGAAACGTTGACTTTTTTGTCTTCCTTGTTGCCCTCCCCATTGCTTCTTTCTCCCATCTTTTCCTGTTTCTTGCATTTTCAGGCCACCCGACTTACAAGTTCTCCTTCTTGCAGCAATCTGTAGTCGTTTTCCTTTTCTGGGTACTCCTCATTTTCATTGCAATCAAAGAATTTATTGATCCCATCGCAATGCCAGAGCATTTCATATTCGTTTTCGCTGGGGTTGCCTTTCTGATCGAGTATCTAATGAACGGCAAAGGCATTGTTGGTCTTGGTGAACTCGAGTATAGCTTCTTAGGTGGATTGACACTAGTCTGTTCTGCAGCTTGTTTCTTTCTTTCGATTAAGCCATCTGCATATTTTGCAGACTTTTTGTTGTCTTCTGGGCTTGTTTTGAAGGGTACTTGGGTTTTGCAGGTTGGATTATCGTTGTACACAGATGCTTTTGCGTTTAAGGGGTGTGGTAAAGTGGTGATTGCTCCATCTCAGGGTCAGGGGAATACTGATGTCAAATGTGATCTTGAAGAGGATAAATTGAGGGGTATAGCGTTGATGAATTTGTTGTTTGTTGTGCATTCAATTATGGTGTTGATAATGTGCTTTGTTCTATTGGGATTATTGAGTCGTAACAAGGTGAGGCCAGGTGATCCTCCCATCATGGCTCAACTTGATTCTGATAGGATGCTTATGAACCCTCTTCCTGCCCTTGAGATGGACTGAATGCCATTTTTGAAGAATCTTTAGGCCGTTCACAGGATATATTGATTTCACCTTCCTTTACAGATACATGGATACACGAATGTTAGTCACTGATGCTTGTTTTTTCAATCTTTTTCCTTGTAACAAATGTTATTTTGATGATCGATAAATATTGTAAAGGTTTAACAAAGTTCATCTAAATAGTATGCTACTTAGCTTAGTAACTTGATTTCCGTTTTGTTTTGTACTTAGATTCCCTTTACAATTCACATAAATAGAGTATGCCAGATTAAGCATATCCAAGGATCAACATGATGCATGGTTGGTCAATACCTTCCTCTTTGATCAAATGTCTTTCATTTATAAAGTACAAGCAAGGATTGTTTTGTTTTTTTTTGGGAAATGGGATCATAGTTAATTCAAAATTCTATCAATTCATCCCCCATGATGAATTGCCAAACCATTTGACTCTTCAACCATTCCAATATAAAGGATTAGTCAATAAAATAGTAGATAGTAAATGGGTCGGTTTGAAAATAAATGAATTACTAGTTGTAAAATATTATTCTCGTCAGACTTAAACCTAACAAAAATAAAATCAACACTAATAAGAATAAGGAAGAATAAGGGTTCGACCCATTGCCTAATTGCTCGAGGAAAACACTATATCTAACTAATCATGGCCCTTATCTCAAGTTTGCACAACTAGAGATGCATGGATTTGAAATTGGATAAATGCAAGAAACACAACATACTTCCATTGATTTGTGTATTGCATTTTATTTTCATTTCTTTGCGTTACAACATGCTACTTTTTCTTATAAAGGCATTAAACTTTGAAAATCTACTCAATTATATTTGGAAGTTTGTTTTGCATTTGGATGAAAATGCTACAAATATGTAGATTTTAAAAAGTCCGATATTGTATTAGGAAAAAAAATAATAAGAGTAGGATTTTGATACTGTAATAAACAAGTCAATCAAAGTACATTGATATTTCTTGCATTTACTAGCAATAATTTCCATTTGAGTTATAGTCATTGTCAATTGTAAAGAGAGACGAAAGTTGAAAGATTTGGGATACCAAAACTTCAGTTACTAAGATGTCCATTTTTTATTAATGTGTCGATGTTACTGGAAAAAAAAATTGGAATTTTAAAATTTTGTTCAAAGTATTGGGATTGTCTCGGTGAAACAAAGTGGCACATGGTTCAATACCATTGCTCTTGAGCTCATTAATTACGTTATAGTAGTACTTAAGGTATTCCTTGTCTGTTATGCCCATGTGTAGTTTTCGACCAAACAATTGAGTACAACCAAAAAGCTGATATCCACCTTTTATCCAATATATTTGTTTTGCAGACTTAGAAGATCTTGACCAAGAATTTAGGGGTTAATCACCCCTCCTAAGATCCAAGGTATCCATGATACCTTTTATGGTTTAAAGGCTGAAGTCTTTATATGAGATAAGCTTTAAACACCTCGCTTGGATGTACAATTTCTAACCATAGTCAAAGGATATGGGGATCGACATACGTGTGACAACCATCAATTTCCGATCAAGTCAAAGTCAACCGGTCAACTCATCTAACCCTTGTATATTAGGGTTTACACTATGTTACTATTGTACAACTCACTATTTTAATAAGAAGTCATCACTTGGAAAGTTTATTCGTTCAAAAATTCTAAACCGTAATAGGGTTAAGTGATGAAACTATTCGATAAAACATTATTCTATACCCTTCGGGGGCATCTATCATAACGAAGCTTAATGGGCTGTACGAACCTTGCATTGCGAAGCTAAACATCCTAAAAGGTCACAAACAAAGTCTCTCCCTACTATCTCAGGCGGTGCTAATGGTGTGGCGGCTTAACAATCGACGCTCCACCGGGGATTAGATTTATCATGAACTCCACTTGCCACTTATATAATATGCTATATTCTAACATTTTATGCAATGATCCTTTCGTAAAGTCATAGCTCAAAATCATCAAGACTTGGCCAATCCGTATCCGAAACAATTCTATAGATATGATGTCTCTCACTCAAAGTATGTCACACCCCGAAAACCAAAGGCGGAAACGTCTCCGGGGTTGACTACCATGTTGTGTATCAATTCCAATGTACATAGTAATCACAGTAAACAAACATTACGTTACATATATATGAAAGTTTACATTTGTTTCAAAAGTAAAGTTATACAAGATATACATATGCATCATATTAACAAAAGTTGAGACGAGTCTTCCACGCACTCCGTCTTCATCAAAAGAGATCACCGGGTACCTGTCTAACTTGGACCTGAGAATACAAGCGGTTTGAAAATCAGCATAAAGCTGGTGAGTTCATAAGCGGTTTTGTTTTGTGAAAATGTATCGGTTTCCTTTAGTTTCCGAAAAGATTTGTTATCCAAGAAAATCCCATATTTTCCTAATTGTAAGATCGGTTGTATAACACAAAGTATAGTTTAACATCCAAAACTATATAATGAAAATCTTGGGATCACTATCCCGAAAGACATATATAAGATAGTTGACACATCCGAAAGTACAGGTTTAAGATCATGGGACTATCATCCCGGACTAGACACTAGATAAGTTAATGTATATATGTAAATATAGATTGAAACCATGGGATCACTATCCCGTATAAGATATAGTTGAAGACACAAAACCTTGGATCATTATCCTATAAGATATGATTTAGAAAGCCATGGGATCACTATCCCGTATAAGTTATAGATACGAAACCATGGGATCATTATCCCGTATAAGATATAGTTTAAGACCATGGGGAAAGACATCCCGTACAAGTTGTAAATACAAACCATGGGATCACTATCCCGAACTAGATACAAAATAGTTTGATTAATACCATGGGATCACTATCCCGAAAGAGATATAGAAATAAACCATGGGATCACTATCCCGAACGAGACGTAGTTTCTGAACCCAAACTGTGAATAAGCTGATATTAATACATATTGTGAGTCGGGTAACCATACTAATACGACAACGTGACCTCCTTGACGTTTGTCAGACGTCGAACGATATCCAGAAATTTGTCACCCTAGGCGTGCCCGCCTAACTGTAGCTAGCAGTTAAGGTGTGGGATTGTCAGTCCCGAATAGATCTATTCACAAATTCCGCGCTCTCCCTCCAGGAGACTCTGGTTACACTTCCGGGGAGGATTTACTGATCATCCATAAAGGGTAGTGACTATCTCACAAACTAGTACTAAACTATTCACAGGGTTCTTGTAAGATATCGACATACAGAAGATTATGAAACATAGTACCGTAAAGTATAGATACATACATGAAATTATCGATAATACATTCAAATGATACGGAGATAAACTGAAACAGACATAGTTTATCTAATAACTTGGTATAGATATCAGTATACGATAGAAAGAACAGTAAAGACCCCCAAATTATTCCCATAATAATTTGATTAGTTTGATTGTTTCCTTAACTAAAATCCATTTAGTTGAAATCGAATAGTCATTCCTTATGCTCAGCATATACATAAGGAGTAAAAGAGTTTATAGTTTGTCAAAGATTTTTGAAACACATCAATGTTGTGATTGGAAAACAGTTTTAGTTTGCTTGTATTCCCCCCTGAAAACATTGAAAACAGTGAAAAAGCCGTAGGGGTATGAACTCACCGGACGAGATACGAGACGGTTTGGATGCTAAGAGTTGATCCGGAACTTGTAAACACACGAGGTTCCTAATTATGATGTAAAGATACACATTTGTATCTAATTAGGACTTAGTTTATTCATATGATAGGGACACTTGCTTCAAGTCGCGATAAACTCTGATACAGTGTTTGGAGTGACCCGGGTGGCGTTTAGGGACATGAGTGACACAAGGGACTTGGGAGAATGAGTTGGGACATCAAAGGAACACTCCCTTAGGGAGTTTACGGCCTAAACACCCATCCCCATGAGTTTACGGCCGTAAACTCATGATGGGTGGTTTATGGTGCAAATTTGACTTCCAACACTTAGGGGATAATTTCTAGACTTGGTTTAAGGACTTGGAATGATTACTAAACATCAATAGATCCCTTTTATGGGAGTTTACGGCCTAGCTTAGCTCCATGGCCGTAAACCCCTATTTTTCCAAGAAAATGTTAAATGGTGCTAGAACAAATCACATGTGATTGGTAGAATTAATCCAAGGCCTAACATGAGTTTGCAAGGGACTTTTGGGGTTTTATGGAGTTTACGGCCCATGAAACCCCCTTCATGGCCGTAAACTCTAATACATGGTGCTCCAAGGTGTTTCAAGGTCTAGAACTTGCATGAAAGGACTTCTAAAATTCATCTAAGGGCCTTAGGGGTGTTTAGTTTGCATTCTAACACCAAAGATTTTGGAGTTTACGGCCCAAGAACAAGCCTTGGCCGTAAACTCTTAGAAATCCCATGAATGATGTGTTTTAAGGTCCTTAAAGTATTTTTGGTTGGTCCCTTGATTTATTCTAAGGCTTTTGGTGGTGTTGGATGGCTTTCTAACACCTTAGAATTGGATTTATGCCAAGTTTTGGGGAGTTTACAGCCCAAGAACTCTCCTTGGCCGTAAACTCATCTAAATCCCCCAAAATTCATGTTTCAAGTGTCCAAATGCAAGAATCAAAGTCCTATAATTCATATCTAAGCCATAGAAGTGATTTGGAAGGGTTTAAGGGCATGAAAACCCTAATTATATGAGTTTACGGCCAAGAATGTCCTTGGCCGTAAACTCCTTCAAACATCACAAAAATTATGTTTTACATGTTTAGAGTCCATATCTTGAAGTCCCATAGCCATATCTAAAGTCCAAACTAGTCAAGGAGGGGTTTAAGGGCTCAAAACCCATCATTTTTGGTGTTTACGGCCTAAGCACCTTCTTAGGCCGTAAACTCATATATATTGTCCAATTTCATGATTAAGTGTCTAGTTTGGAAGCTAAACATGCTATAGATTAAGGCTAGGAAGGTACCTTAAGGATTTGAAGCCTTAAAATTGAGTT